ACATACCGCGAACCATTCATAGCCGTTCATATTTCAGTAATCGAATGTTTGGGGCACATTCATGCCAGAGATGAAAAAAACAAAATTACACACCGTGTGTGTGTATGTTTTTTTTTCGTTCGGCTGCACGAAACAATTATATTTACCTATTTGATTGACTTATTCAATTGATTCCCAGGCCCATTCTATTTGCATTGATCTGGTGGTTGTTAAAATTTGTGTATTCGCTACGCAAACACAATACCAAAAATGCCAACGCAAATTGAATATTGGAATTAATACAATAAAAATTTGAATTGCAATATTGCTGGCAAAATATTTATTCAATAACCCATTGCACTTGCATGCATGCATACACACACACACAATAGATATTCATTGTGCTACCGCCAACCATATCATTCCAATCTATCGAAACCATGATCAATTTGATTGTCGCACTATTACATCGAATAATTTTCATATTATGTGCAGCATTCGCTTTGTTATCGATACCAAATATACATATGTATACACCACTTGTATCAATTTTCAATACTTGACTTGTTTGCCAATATTTTCGCTGCATCTCTCTCTCTCTCTCTGTCCCCTTCTCAATGGCCCTTGCCAGCTCTCTCAATTAACAAAATTTTTATTCTAGCCAGAAATTGATGGCGCTTTCTCATTAATGCAAAAATTTGAAGCACGTACCAAAAAAAAAAAAATGATTAAGCATTACGCAACTATAGTGGTGAATTGAAATGTTTGAACCATTTAATTGTGAAAATATGATGAATGTTCGCTAAAGTCAAATTTCACAGAATGTATATACAAATTAATGAAACATCCAAAACAGCGATGACAACTGTTTTCATCTTTTTTGTCATGCTCTCTCTCATACCAGTTTCTTTTCGGTTGAAAAACAAAAGAGCGAAAAGGCGTGGATATTCACACAAATTCTTGTGAATATGGACACAAGCATATTTTTTATATGCTAAATATGAATAGTGTGTTAATTTAGGTATTATTCGCTACTTTCGAATGTGTCTTTGTTTAATTCAACGGAATCTAGAATGATTGCGGTTACGCGAAGATCGACACAAAGAAAACTGAAACAAAATATATTAAAAAAAACACCAAACCGGACCACAATGTTTTCGTTTAGCACACAACACAGTTTAATTGTGCGCGATTTATTGTGTTTAGACATTCCATACGTTAGTCAATAAAGTTGTATGGAAACGATTGCAAAAGATGTGGACGCTTCGCATTCTAATAAGTAAAACGAGTGCCGGCAAACAAAAGTCAAATTAACCACAAAATTAAATTGTTCGTCGAAGGTGAGTCATGTGTGAGCTTCATCGCATATAAAAATGTGACCAGTCAAAAAATAAATTGTTTTGCATATGTGATTCAACGTTGGACGGAGTGCTGACAAATATAAAAGACGAAAAACCTTTCAAAACAAAATAGACCGAAAACTTCGAAATATATATCTATGAAACATGAAATGAGTACATGTTTTTCGTGTAATAATTTCTTGGAATTGGACATCATAAAACAGTTACAATTATCCACGAAATGAAAACAGAATTACAACAACAACAACAAACAAAAGAAGCAACAATAATGTTTAAATTTTAACATTTTTACACTCAAGTTCTTTCTTTTTTATATTTCATAAATTGGACGACACGAGAAAAATAAGAGCAGCAAATCTTATGTTCAAAATAAAACTATCGGAATTTTTTCGTCAAGAGCATTGAAATATAAAAAGGTATATCAAGACAAAAGAAAAGGAGTCAACGATCGAGAATATTCGTCATTTTCGTGACAATCATACATTCAAGCAAATGCATTTTTCGTTTATTAGATTCATACACTTTTCGCTAATAATCGTTTTGTGTTTTCTCCCAAAGCAGTCTGTCTGTGTATGTGTGCCACTTTATCGAATACTGAGGACGTTGCCGTGCCGATCACCGTCAAACTTAACATTTAATTTGTTTGAGATTTGGATATTGCACATAGACCTATTGGCAAGGTATTGGTGAAAGAGTGATATTTATGGCCTTTTTAGCATCTGTATGTGTTGCTGTTATTTTATTTAAGCTCACAATCGATGCCCGTCTTATTACATATTTTTATTGGCGTTTATTTTCAGTATTTGTTGTTATTGTTCTTGTTGTTATCTTTCCCTTAATTCTTAAAGTTTTATTTTTTTTCTTCGTCGTTTTGTGTGTGTGTGGTTTAGTATTTCTTTTTAGTTCATCTGTTTCTCAGCTTTCGGTTATGAGGTTGTTGTTGCTGTTGTTCTTGTTATTTTTGTGTGTGTGTGTGTGTGTGTGTTTTTTTTTCATTCGTACATGAATTGAGCCGAGCTGAACGGCACAAAACAGTGAACAAGCGGGCTCGTTTCTATAGCCGAAGCATTTAGTAAAAGTAGAAGGTAAAGTAAACATGAAAGAAAAGATAATCAAAAAGAAGTGCAAAGAAGGTGAAAAATTGTTTGTGTGAACAAGGATGAGAATGTGTTTCGATATGTAGGTAAATGTATGCGAGCTCTATTGATGTTCAAAAAGGAAAATATGCGCTTTGGTTTGATATAGAAGAAACCTGGTTGGTTTTTTTTAATTTTAAATTTACTATTCCTTCGAAATAAAATGGGAGAGAGACAACGAGAGGGAGAGAGAGAAAAAAGAGGAACGAACGAGAAAGAGAAACGAAGAAGAAGCAGAAAAAAAGATGTGTAAATCATGCAGCCACATCACTTTCGTGGCATGTATTCATTCGAGTCCGTGTGTAGTGTTGTTCCCATGAATACAGATGCATTCGTATATGCATTTATTGCTTTAATGGCCAACAACTATGTACTCATACACCTACATTTTTTTGTGTTCAGTTTGCTTGCTTCTTTTTTTCGTTCTCTTTTTCTCGATCGCTCTTTCTTTTTTTTTCTCGATTCGCTCCTCTTTCGTGTGTAATGAAGCAATGGGCGAACAGACGTACGTGTACGTACGCAATGAATGCGTTTCTCACTTCGGGAGCATTTGATGTAAATGCACACGACCAATATTAAAGAAAATGGTCTCACGAGATTTTTTTCCTCGTTGTGTGTATTTTGTTTGAAATGTGAAACGTATGTGGTGGAAAAACAAAAAAAAAAAAGAAAATTTTATGTAGAAAAAAAAAACTGGTGAATAAGAGGCTTACGCATAATGAATATACGAACTTAGAATGTTGTGTGTAGTGTATTGTACATCTACTTTGCTACACCGCACCGATATATATAAGCGGTGAAAAAAAAACACAAATACGCATAAACTTCAATATGGACAATTTGTTGTACAATGTACACGCATCCATAGAATGCATACAAATCTCTCGGTGTATGTATTATATATATACATTCGACTCCGTACTCGCATCTCTCGGTGACAACACACACTACACAGCAGCAACGATTTTTTGATTAGATTTTGAAGTACTTTTTCACGTTATTATGTCGTCACTCACACATCGAAAATTGCTAGAAAGCACACACAGCACAGGAAAACTCTGCGTAATACATCATTCCTTCATTTTGCAGGCGTTTTGTAGGGGGATCTTTGACGAAAGGAAGGAAAGGCACTGAATTTTCTACACATAGCGTGAACGAGAACGAGTGAGCGTGAGCATGTGTATGCGACGGAGATGGAGCGAGAGAGAAAAGGGAAAAAAATGCACGAATTCAAATGCTTTGGAGCTGTGTGACTGCCGTTTTTCTGAAAAATTACATAGTTTCTATTCTCGTTCCCCAATATCCTCAATACTGTTGCTGTCTTAACACACAAAAAAAAAGACCGACCGAAGTTTGTGTGCTTTTTTTTATAAATGCAAATATCTGAGTTGCAGCAATACAAGCAGCATGAAGCATTTTAACGTATTGACCTGTGTATGTATTGATTCGAGTGATTGTTTTCGTCAGTCAACTAAACGTGAATACAAAACACAACGACGACACACATTGCCACAAACATGTACATGCACATAATCTTCGTAGAATATTTCTTTTTTTCGTTTTTTTTTACTTCTTCTTTTATAATTCCTTCTCTCAATTCTTTTCTTCATCTTTATAACGAGTTTGTGTGAGTGTTGTGTGTGCTTCCTCCGCACAACAGCACCATTTATATGGCATTTTCTCTTCGTGCCATGAAACTTTGGAGCTCTCGCTGATTTAAAGCCTCGAAGAATGTAATGCATACTTTTCTCTCTATCTCATTCTGTTATTCATTCGCCGTTTCAGTGCGTCTTTCACAAAATCAAGAGAATCGGTGTCTCTCTCTGTGTTTGTGTATATGTGTGGCTGAGAGATAGATAGTAATAATAATAATAAAAAAAAAAACGAAGAAATACAAAATCAAGTAATGTTTTCAGGTTTGTATTGTTGTTATTATTGTTTTCTTTGTTGTTTTGTATCATCAATACGAGACTTTATCTCGTTCATCTCGCAACGAATAAATGCTACTTTTCTGAGACAGAAAGTCTTCAACATTCCAGTTTCAGTTGCCTCCGCTTGTATTCTTTCTTCTTTTTTTATGTATGTTCGCTTCATCTTGTCCACATTTTTAGCCACAAAGACAAATAGTCAAAAGATGCGCAAACTAAAAATTCCAAAACGTTTAGCGACACCAAAACTTCCGAAATGTTTAACGAAAATTAATTGAAAAAAATTTGATCTCGTTGCTATGATGCAATTTACTCGATTTGATATTCACAGTTGACGAATAAAGAAAGAAACGAAAATATCTTTTTTGTTCTATTCATAACAAGAACAGAAAACAACAACAAAATCAACCACAGCCCATAAAAGCAATGCAATGGATATTGTTTTTCGGTCACACATTTAAAGCGCACACAGCAAATCTCAAAATTATTGAGCGTCGAATGGAAATGAATGGTGATGTTGGATCACAAATCATTTACGGCAACCCGTGAAATTTAAATATAGAAAAGCAATCGATAAATTGAATAGATATACGTACATGAAGCAGCATATAAACCATTAATATTTGCGATGCAATATCAGCTTGTTAAAACACTTCACTATTTTAAACTCTAGTGGAAACACAATAACATAAAATCGTTGCACTATTTTATCTCGTTTCGTTGAGTTAGTATGCGTATTACGCAAATGTTTGTCGCCACCAAATTCTCCAGATTTCAGTTCAATTTAAATGGAAAACCAAAAACAAGGTGAAAAAAAAACGAAAATCAGGAATGCAATTGAAGAGAGCTGCACGAATTAACGGCAATAAAGTTGAAAGTGTTGATGTATTGAACTGACACAACGATTTCGTTGTCGTTGTCGTCGTTGATGGTTGGTTGATTGGTTGTTGTTATGTTTTGTCGTGGTCGGATGATGATGGTTGCTTCAGAAATGAAAACTCTGCAGCTATATTGTGGGCCAAAATCTCAACTCGAGTTTCATTCACCGTTTTGCCATTGGCATAAATAATTTTCAATTACTCGATTCACGGCACTCGCACAAATCGTGTATGAATTTCATAACTAAATCTTTAGCTGGAATCGTTATATGCTATGAATAATGTTTAAGATAGATTAGTTACAATATGTATTTATTTTCCGTGAATAGTGATGAATCGGCCGTAGAAAGTCGATAAATACTAATCAAAAGGATGATGATAGGTTAACGTCAGTGATAAAAGACAAGAACACTTGCACAAAAATGAAAATCAAATAGAACTTTAGAACATTTGTGCCCACAATATACACACATTTACTATATCGAATGCATATGATGATTCTCTTTAGTTTTTTTTTTCTCTTCAATTGGACATTTATCGAGTGTGTGTGTGTGTGTGTGTGTGTGTGTGTTTAAATTGTGTATCGGACAGCAATCTCTTCCCACATTTTCTAATTCATTCTTGTTTGGTGAGATTACTTTTTCTTTCTCTGCTTGAATTTATCGCAATCATTAATTGTATAAGAACACCACACACCACACCAGTCAGTATATTGGAATTACAGTCACTGGTCGCGGCAACACCAAAGCGAAATTTTCGGTCGGATTTGTTTGCGTTTTGTCTATTTTCTCGCGTCGACTAGACCGAAATATTTTCTATTTGTGTCTCACTGCAAAAGTCTTTGATTCCTCCTTTTTTTACTATTTCTACAACTATTACTACTGCTATCACATCACAAACTCGAACAAAAAAATAATAATATTGTTCTCACTCAGTAATACCGAATTCACAGTCGACACTCTTTTTTTTTCTCTTTCTGTCGCTTTCACGATTCATATATAGTACTTTTACTTTAACATTTTGCTTTGTTTATTTTATTTTCGTTTTGTTTCGATTTTTGTGATTTGTCGGGATTTTGGTTTTGTTCGTACATACAATTTTTGCGATAGGTAACACGACGTTTTTAACTCTGAATTACGTTAAATTGTGAAAACGAAAAATAACAACGAAAAAATAATAATAATGGAAGGAAAAGAAATGATTTTTTTTCTTGTGGCTGATGGCTGTTCTTATATATTGTTGTTGTATTAGAAAAAAGCGACGCGCGATACGATCGATACAATGAATTGCTCGCAACTAACTCAGTTCGAGACGAAAGTATGAGAGTGAACTGAAAAGAATACAAAAATGCAAAGAAAAATCTTTAGCGCACCGAACGCACTACGGTTTGCCATTGAATTTATGCAACAAAAACTTGATTACAGTCTTCTACCTCTGCAATGCGTCAATGTCTTGACTTTTTAGAGAGAAAATATTTTGAGAATTTGGAAATTTTTCGAAAGAAAAGCAATCGTTTTCGATGAACATGGTGAGCAAACGGATCGCATCAAATGCTAAAGATTTCTTCCATTTTGGTATGGATGCTAACACCAACACTACATACAAATGGGTCCAGTAAAAGCACTCATGTACACAGGCGCAGTTCAAACGATAGCGGCTGCCAACATAGAATATATGTGCTTTGGTATCGGTTCCTTCTCTCTCTCTCTCTCTCTTTTTTTCATTTGTATTTGTGTTGAGTTTGCTGTAAAATCCTCCATTTGTAATTCCAAGCGATGTCGTCCATATTGAATTTTCATTGTTTGTGACCGAAAATATATTTATATCCACATCGAGTACCATACACAACTATCACCGTGCACCGTGCACTGTGCATGGCATCGAAAGCGAAAGAGATAGAGAGAGAAAAAAAGCAAGCGAATACTTCTTAAGAATACCTAAACACTACTTAAAATTGTACACTTGAATGCATCCGCAACTCTTAAATTTGATTGCATCTTTTTTATTCATGAACATTTCCACGAAAAAATAATGCGTCCATATAATTTTTTTGCTGAATAATTGATAACAATTTTCAAAAAAGCGAAACCATCGACATTTTTCAAAACGAATTGAGTTTAGAAAAACATTCTGTTCTGATTGTGTTATGGCATAATGTCGTTAAGTACGTTGAGTATCGAGCATAGAAATCTACTGATTTGAACATTTTTTCGCACATAAATATGTGTATTTTAACTTGAAAATCGTTTAAAAAATTAATTTAAATCAAATTGAAATTCAAATAGTTTTGAAAATATGCATAATATTTGTAGAAGAGCTTAAAAAGAACAAACAAACCAACGCCATCTCGTTGGAAAACTTTTATCAACAATATGCTCCATATGCAATTCATTATGCCATTCCATTGAGTGAGTACAATCGTGTTTTTTTTGTCCTTCTGTTACATAAAATATTCATCAAATCAATATCTACATATCATATTTCTGTTATGCGATAGCCAAAATGTGGAAAAATGGCATTGAGATAATGTATGTGCTTCGCTATGTGTGTGTGTGTGCCATTTGAACTGGGCTAGAATGTAATGTAAGATTGACAGCAATGACAGTTTCAACGATATTCATTGACATTTCCGTGGCACACACTCACATGACAGACCATAAAAAAATCGTACATTATCGTGTGTAAAAGTTGTACAAACAAAGTGCATACAGTGACATTGAATTGTTTCTTGTGACAGACGTGAATTTTTCATCGTTTTTTTCTTCTGTTTCTTCCCTTGTTCAAAGAATTTCGCCGTTCGTCATTCACATTGTGTGTGTATTAAAACAGTATCAGTTCGGTCGTCACACATTTCTCTTGGCCGAATTTGCTTCTGATTACACACCAAACCCTGAAAACAACCCGAAAACGGACTGAATAACAAAATTTAATTGAAAGATGAAAAAACCAAATGCATAGAAATATGAGCTTAATCGATAGCAATCAAAAAGTAGTACACATATTCATTGATGCGAATGTTATTTGATTGTAATTAAAACTGATTTTTCCGCGCAAATCAATTGTCAAAGTTAAACAAAACATTGAAGTTTTCAAGTGGGTACTATGCCATACAAAACTACCGATAAAATCGATTGTGAATGAAATAGGCGGATCAAAAACAAAAAGAAAATTTATTATATTATTTTAAAATTGAAATGGAAATTTTGTGTTTTTAATTGTATATTTTGTGTGTGCGTATGCATGAGTTTCGGCAATTTTTTGTTCGGTTGTTTGTTTCCAATGATTGTACACATTTTTCAAACTTACCTATCCACCGATCAGAACAATTAATTAATTAGAAGTTCTGTTCGTTTAGTATTGACGTATATCTTGGAATGCAAGATAGGTGAAATCGGTTTTTTGTTTTTTTTTTTGTTTTTCAAAACGTATGTACCCACAAATCGGCATCAGTTCAACTCTTTACTCATTTACAATTGAGAATTATTAATACAACGTGATTCGCCAACATACAACAAACAACATACGCTTAATTTGTCAGTTTTAGATTATTAGCAATTGCGCTTGAACATGAATTTCGATAATTTAATTACGGAAAATTTAGTATTGAACATTGTTAAAGACAAATTACGGCATGATGAGAATGTTATATCGGTAAGTAAATGGATTGTGTTCGGGTGTGCGCGTGTGTATCTTTGTGCATTTTTCTTGAACAGTTTTTGAGCATTTTTAATTCAATTCCAGATATGTGAAACTTATCAAATAATAGGAGGAGAATACAAAAATCGTTTACTCGCTCTCGTTGCCCACGGTGATACATCGGCAATTTTTGCATTTGCGTCATCTAAATGGCCACCAGAACTCTTTTCCGATCTAACAATTGAATGTGTTTACCCGCTAAACGAACAGTTTATGTTGGATACAAGTTAGTTATACATTTATTATAACCCTTTCTCTCTCTCTCTATGTGTTTTGGTTGTAGAGTGTTCGATAAGATAATCGTTTCTTGTTGTTGTATTTTTAGGCTCATCGAGTAACATCACTGAGTATCAATTCAAAATACACTCGTCACAAGGCCAATCCGTTTATTACTACTATCCATTCAAATCGGCGCATGCAAAAAGTTTTAGCAGTTTTCATGAGGATTGCAAAGCAATTTCAGCTAGCATACCAAAGATGAACGATCCGGAACATTTCAAATGGACACAAAAATATCGACGCGAAGATCAATCGGCCATTGATCGCAACATCGCCGATGGTACGATTACGTTGCAACGACGAGAATCGAAATTTCGAGAGGAACTCGAACGACGCGAATTCGAATATATTGTTCATAAAGATTTCACGTATGATCATAACGTTTGGTGTACAAATTCGAAATTGATTGTTATCATTCATTGATGTGTTCGATATCTGTTTATGTGTTACAGCATTTATACGGCCACATGGAATGTGAACGGGCGACCATGCGGTGATATTGAATTAAAACCTTGGCTCTCTGCAACTGAAAATCCACCCGATATTTATGCGGTTGCATTTCAAGAACTAGACCTATCACCAAAAGCAATTACATTCAGTGAAAATCGACCGGATCCCATTTGGATGTAAGTAGCTGATGGAATAAATGTTATTATCTAACAATGACAACATTATTATCAATATTGTGCAAAATACAATCGTTTGTTTGGATAGACGAAGAATTATGTCGAGTTTGAATCCAAATGCAATCTATGAAGAGCTGGTGTCGGTACGCTTGGTGGGCATGATGTTAACGGTTATCGTTCGTCAAGAATTACGTAAAAATGTGTTGCGGTATTCAACGCAAGCAGTCGGAACGGGTGCACTGAATTTTATGGTACAATTTGTTTTTCTGTTTCATTTCACATTAATCGACCCAAATGCAATTGTGACTCATTTATCGGAAAATTGTTCATGTACAACGAAATTGTAGGGAAATAAAGGTGGAGTTGGTGTGAGTATGCAAATAAATGAAGCATCCATTTGTTTTGTAAATTCCCATTTGGCCGCACATTCAAGTGAAATTGAACGAAGAAAAGAAGATCATGATGAAATCATTCGTCGCATGCAATTTGAATATGGTATATCACGCAGGTCGATCGATGAACACAAGTAAGTTTCATTTGAATTTGCATTCTTTTTCCAATATGAGCCAACGGTTTTGTTTTTCAGCCATATATTTTGGATTGGTGATTTAAATTATCGGCTCGTCGATAATCCACCACGTTCGGTGTTCGATGTCAATTTTTCAGAGATTATTAAACATGATCAGTTGTATCAGGAAATGCAACGTCGCCGTGTGTTTTTGAATTATACCGAAGGTGCCATCAATTTTCGGCCAACCTATAAATATGATCCGGGGACAGATGAATGGGATAGTAGGTGAGAATTTGACTATTTATTATTTCGATGACAAATCCAATCTTATCGTCCGATTTTGCGTTTATAGTGAGAAAAATCGACCGCCTGCATGGTGTGATCGTGTCTTATGGAAGGGAGAACGTATTAGTCAATTGGAGTATAATAGCGTGATGTCATTACGTTTGAGTGATCACAAGCCCGTTTACGCAATTTTCTCAACGGGGGTAATTTTGGAATTTTTGTATTTTTTTTTAACACAATTTTCAATCTGCATTTCTTGGATTTCCAGATAAAAACTAAAGACGAACAAAAGTACAAACGGGTTCACGAAGATGTTCTTAGGGGAATGGATAAATATGAAAATGATAATCAGCCACAGGTTGGTGAAATTATATTAATATCAAAAACAAATTAACAACACTTATTTCATTAGCATGCGTAAATAACAACACGAAACGATTAAATTTGTGTAGTTTGTCTTTCAAATTCTATGTAGATTTTTTTTAACACTCTTTGTCTTGAAGATTAATAACAAATTTCAGTAGTTTGATTGATTTAAAAAAAATCTTCTGCAATGACTCGCTCATTTCATAGTTAGTACGACTTTATTTCCTATTTTCGTTTCATTTCATGACTTTTTTGTTCAAATAAAAAATGCACATCTTCATATACAAACTATGACTATAGTCGGAATGTAGTATCGAGGCTTTGAATTCGCATAATCTTGATTTTGGATTGGATGTAGCCGCCGCACTTTAAATGAACTCATAGAAATTATTACATTTAATTTGGCTATTGTATAGTTTTAAGTCTTAACATTTAAGACATTTTTGATACTATGCTAAATATTTCGTATCACTTTGATGCATGATTTCCATTTACCATTTACTGTGCCATATATACTATGTACATATATTATGTAAATTCGATTTTGTTACTCGTTACTCGATGCCAATGTGTTTAAACAAAATCATTGTAAAAAAATGAACTCAATAAAATTGCTACGTTGCACTTTTTGTTACTCAAAAGTATCTAACATATTTCCCTCATATAAAATAACATCATTTTAAAAATCGACTATTCCGATAATCGCCTCCAAAGTAGTGTGAATTTTGCATCTGCATTACCGACACCGATGACCAACTTTTTCGAACTTAACATCTCAATATATTCAAACGTTACTCATGAAATCCATTATTGATTTTACATTTTTTTGTTTTTTACATTTAGATTACTGTGGAAAAAACCGACATTGATTTCGATATTATGCAGTTCAATGAATCATATACGCGTGATATAACTGTTGCCAATAACTGTCATTTACCAGTTCGATTTGAATTTCGCGGCAAAGAGGAAAACGGTAAAAAGATTTGTGAGCCATGGTTACATGTGGAACCGACTCATGGTGAACTCATCACTGGTGACAGTTTGAGTATTCGTTTCAAGATCTTTATCGATGTGCATCATGCGTGGCGAATGCATCGAAAACAAAAGACCAGCAATACCAAGGTTCCGTTGGACATATTGGTGTTGCATGTCGAAAACGGACGTGATATATTCATAACAGTATTGGGTGAATATCGGCCCAGTTGCTTTGGATTTTCCGTTGAAACATTGGCACGATTACCGCAACCAGTATATGAGCTAGATCTCAAGGATTTACTCAAAATTGTATGTATTGATTGAAATTTATGATGTAAAAATTTGTTGATTTCACAATGTCATTTGATTTTGAAATAGGAAAGCGATCTAAACAGTAGTTATTCATCGTCTGTGTACAAAGTATTGAATATTCCACGGGAAATTTACCAATTGGTCGATTATTTAAATCGAAATGGATTGAGAACGCCAAATCTTTTCACCGTCGAACGAAAGTATGCCACAAATCCACTGATTAATGATATTCGAGATTGGTTAAATCTTTGGTCACCAACTGATTTTCGTACGTATTTATAATTATACTATTACTCAATTAATGCCCATTTAAATGTAATGTGTTTATTTTTTTTTTGTATGTGTTAAAATATAGCCGGGAATCCATACACCGCCGCCGAAGCTCTACTAATGTTACTTGAATCTCCACCTGAACCATTGGCCAGCCCCATGGAAGAAGAGTGTCTGTATGCCGAATCATTTGATAAATGTTGTGAAATAATCAAAGTATTATCCGGACCCAAGAAAAATACATTCTTATACATTTGTATGTTCTTGAATGAATTGCTGAAGTTCACCCCACAAAATCGTCTTGAATCTATAAAACTTGGTACATTTGATTGAGATTACATTTTAACCAAAAACATTTCAATAATATTTGGATTTGATTGATTTCATTTTTAGCCACAATATTTGGTCGCGTTATGTTGGATGGCCATGGGAATTCATCCAAATCAATATTTCGTTCGTTAACCGAAAAAGATCGCGACGAACGACGAACGGCTTTTATGCACAAATTTTTATGCAATGATATTAAAGATTTTGCCCGTGATGTATTAACAGCGCCAATATAAATCTAAATAACTATTCATAGAATCTGCCATCACCTATAAAACAATCCAGTTCAAAGAGAAAATGATTAAGAAGTCAAACCCACGATAGTCACCTCAACCTTGTAAATAGATGTAAATAAATCTAGTTAAAATTGAAAAACAAAATCCAATTTTACCACCCAATTAATGTTCCCTTCATTAGATCCATTGTTATTTGCTTCATTGGCGAATTGTCTGTCGAAAAAAATACCCACTTTCTGGTATCATTACTAACGGCACTAAAAAAAAATTCAATAAAAATTTGAAATACCTTTTGTAAAATTCCAATATTATTCTACTCAATGTGAAAATATTGTCTTGTACTTGGACTCGATTTGGAAACTTCTTCATATTTAGTATTTCGAAAATTATAAACTAATCAATTTGATTCAAACGAAAGATAAACAAACAGAATTATCGAAAAGAAAAACAATAAAAATTCACTTCTTAAAATTGATAACGTTTAAACATTGAATTTTATTTAATAAAAATGTCAACCGATTACCAAATCATCTTTTTTCGTATATCCCTCTAATCTGAACATAATCAAAGCAAGTGTATTAAGGAATGATTTGCTCTCTGATAGGTAATATTCGCTTTTCATTGAAAGTCTGGATGCTTTTAAAAAATATTCGTTTTTTAATAGTTACTAAAAAGCTACTGCAACATAATTATAATAGATGGCGACACAAGCTTGTCTCTTTTGTATCGAACAAAGCATAAGTTTTTACTTATAGCTTTTGTTTTTTTTTCTTTAACCGAAATTGTTCATGATTTTAACGAAGAATGCTTATGAAAAATGGACTACTTATTTTTCGGCGGTATTTCAAATTATATAATATAGAAATATATCCCAAAATCGGAAAACGGAACGAGATGATGAGATCAAGTGATCAATTTACTAAAATGAGTAAATATTACTTATGTATACATAACTAATTGATATTCGATATTTTCAACTTCACCGACGTGGTGCACCATGGTAATAGTATATTCAAACTTCGAAAGCACATAGCTCATGGAATTCAATCTTGCTTTCAATTTGAGGTGAGTCAAAAATGTGACTATTTGTATTTAATTCGATTGATTGACAAGAAGAGCGCCTTCATGTTTATGTCACATAATTTGATAAATGTTGATCAATATTTTGTTCTGTCGAAATCACTGTTCTTCAATTAACTATAAAAAAAGTTCGAAGTCGTTCCAATTTCATCAAAATTGGACTATATTTGGGGGTCCAATGTTGCGTATGCAAAACACAACAAAGTCAATAATTCGGCCGTCAACAGAAAAAGATCGCGACGGGTGACAAACGGTCCATTTAAGTTTAATAAACGTTGAAAAAAGAACTCATGTGTAAATCAGGCTTCCCATTGCTCCCACATGAAGTAATGGGAACAACTATATTTGGATTTGTGGTTCTTGCATTTTATTTGAGAACATTTTTAGTGTAATTGGCATTAAATACTTTTTAAATTATCGCCTCTGTACATAATAAAGTACAAGCAAATGTTGTGCACACATAATAATGTACTAATGCTCATGGACTTGATAAATATTTATGATTAATAAACATAACCATAACCGAAAAACATTACAAAATGATTGTTGTTGAATGTTGTGCGTTTTTTTTATTATATAAAGCATATATAATATGCCTTAACATACTTCTTGATTATTTGTTGAGGTACCTAAAATAACGATGGTGTCACACCGACATTTCTCTCATTGTTCAACTCATTCAAATTTATTCTCGATTGACACACATTTTCCGTTGACGATTTTGGTGAAATGGTATTTTACTTTTTTTTTTTCATCGTCACCGTCGTCATCATCTTCTCCATTTTATTTTTGCTTCTTTTTCTTCTGTTTTCGTTTCGTGTGTTCGGTCCCTTTGTGAAATTTCTCCGTTTTGCATAAAATGAAGAAAAGAGAGAGAGAGAAGGAAAGAGAGAATAGATGGAATAAAAATCCACAGATTGTTGCATCATTTAATTGGAAACTTGTAAATGTTAAAATTGCGAATGCGTGTGTAACATAATCTTTATGCGCTACTTGTGCTGTAAACGCGTTCTTCTTTATTTAAAAAAAAAAATAAGTAGGTTATATCTTGACCAGTTTAACATTATTACTGTATTGTTTGTAGTACAGAGTACACACAAATTACAGGTAAAAACGAAGCAACGCAGAAAAAAGAAACGAAAATAAATAGAAAGAAATTACAATGAGAAAATCGAGCGAAAGCTGACGTGATGGTTATTTAAGGAAATTATGTGTGCCCTTTTCGATTTTATACCTCAAGAATGGCGAACAAAAAAAGAAGAAGAAAGAACTGATTCTGTAACGACAATGAAATTTCGACGCAATGATGAATTGCTGGAATTCAACATTTCGGTGAAAATGATTTTTATAACTTCCATATATTCATATACATGATGTAATTGCGTTGGTGTTCTAATTTCTTCTTTCTTCTTTCTTCAGTGACCAAATGAAGAAATCGCACGCTTGAAATGAATAATGCTTACGATTTATTTGAGGCAATCAGCTGATTTAAATTTTCATTCCAAATTTAGCTTCAAACGATCACATGAGCACAAATCATCGCCAACACAAACATTCTAGATTTTTTTTTGTTTTGTTTTTGGTGTATAATGTTTTTAAAAGAAACGGTGATGTTTAAATTAACGGCTTAACGGGACTTTTCTAGATGATTTTGTTGATTGTTATTGTTGTTGGTGGTGGTGTTTGTAGTGTCTGATGTGTATATTTGGTTTATTCATTCTTCTTTCTTTACAAGCCAAAAAATATGTCCAACATAGCATGACCTGATTATGTGATTCAATGTGCGCGCTGCTATAAATTGTTTATATTGTTAATAAATATAGAATAAATCGGAATAAATAATCAACGGATGCAATAATTTGACAAGATCATTCATGTTGGAATAGATACTGAAAGTATATGTAAACTAGTTTCGTAAATTGTATTCAAACACACGATACACACGAGACACAAGAGAATTTTATGTGTGTTTACGGTACAGATATTTCTATGCCATATAATAATAAATAAGCGCACATTCATAAGTAATATACACCATCATCGAAGATTATTGAAGCGATCAATGCGTGAATATCAAGTCTCCGGCTCTTTACAAAGTATGACACAGGCACACATATTACGTGCACGACGGCAATAACGTATCCATGAAACAGTTATCAACATTAACATCAAACGACGATCAATGAAGATGTTGTTACTATTTCTCCTCTTAATCATTTGATCATTTGGTCAAATCAACATTAATGGTAGCACCATTTCTGATTACAAATGTTGAATTGGAGAAATCTCGGTGTATGGATTTTTTTTTACGTAAAAAGAAATTATCAAATACATTTCATCGAAATAATAAGTATACACTATAGTTACAAATGTGACTGTGAATTGGGTCATTTCTAGTGCGATAAATGCTCGCCATGATTTTATAATATGATGATGAACTTTCTTATTCAATTAGCACAGCCAAAAATATTAATAATGGGAGGAAATTCAACAATCGCTGTATGGTGCTGAAAACGGTTCTTCCTCTTTTACATTTGTTTCTCACCTCTTTCCGTCCGTGTCTGCGTGTGTGTGCCATTGCTATTTCTGTTCATTTTAATGATCGCGTAATGTCTGAATGAGTGTTGCGCGTTCGTTTACGGTATTTTGGAATTTGGCCACAAATTAACTGGTATGTATAATCATTCAAAGTGTTATCAGAATAGTTCTTTCGGAATGAAAAAGAAACACAAAATAAACCGGTATTCGATTGGTCGTTTTAGATGTAAAAATGAAAATGGGTCAAATTAGATCTTTTTTTTTGAAAGTATGACAAAAATGTTGTTTTTTTTATTTCAGTACACTCAGCACCACATTGTTTTCGCCTCTGAGTGTTTTCTTTTTCTTCTCAGTGAAATAAAGAAGAAAAAAAAATCTTTGGCGGTTTCTGTATGAAAAACACACACACACACACACACATGTAACTTTTTTCATCGTAAGAACCTCAAACAAGATGTAATAAAATGAGAGAGAGGGAGAGAGAAACTGTTTTCGAAATATATGTTGACATGTTCAAATGCGTGAACTGCGAGATTTTTTTTTATTTCATACACGTCAAAATCAAATAATGAAGAGAAAAAAAAAAGAATGTGCAGAAAGCTTTGGCTTATGCTATGTTTGTGTGAATTTAGTTCAACGTGTGGCTCATAACCTAGATTCTGTTCTTGTACACGCCTTTCCTTTCTTCAGCTTTAAAGCGTCGGTGATATTGTTGCTGTTGCCAACGATATTTTTTAATATATGGGTAAAATTTGCACCGAAGTAAATTGTGTATACAACATTTGTGGCCTTTCTCTTTGCCACAATTGCTTTGTTTCCTTTCTTTTGCAGCGTAGGTACTTTATTCATTCTTTTTTCTTCTTCTTCTTCTTTTTCATTTTATGTTTGGGCTCATTTTTGTATTGAGTGTGCGGTGTTTGGACCATAGCAAGATAGCAAAAGATACTGACACATTTGTTTATCGTTTAGTCAAACTGTCTGTTTTTTTTCTTCTTCTTCTTCTTCTCTCGACATCTTTCAAATGCATGGTGACGGCTTTTAAATCATTTCTAAAAAAATTTGTTACGACTTCGAACGTGCGGTATTTGATCAACTTGACCTTTCTTCTGTGATCGTATTGTGCAATTTCAACAAAACGGTTATCTCAAAGCAATCGCTCGAAATTTATGCTATGACTTTGTTTCAGATTGTTTTCTTCATCTTCTTTAAATTCGTTTCTCCTTTCGGTGAAAATCTGCGATTGCTTACTGTGTTACTTTTCTTTTATTTTTATGCATTTGAAAATGTTATTCCGTACAAGTTTTTGTTTTTGTTGTATGTGTTGAACAAAACTCGGCTATTTTAAGCCATGCACATTCTCTAATATTCAATTTAGGCTAAAAACATAAAGCCGCCGCGTAACGGCATGTGGCGTGCAATCGATGAAAGTTTTTCTTCTGGATTTCATGTCGTATGCATCACATGTGTTGCACTTATTCAGCATTGATGCCATTCCGTATCCATTATGCTCATAATTTACGGCTGTCTAAATTTAAACGTATTACACGTTATATTTTGGTGCAGCACAGTGCATAGTGCCATTGAAGTGAAAAAGAAATACGTGAAAGGAAACAAAAATAAAACCAACATCAAAGAAAAAAGAGCAAACTGAAATAAGAAGAAGAAGAAGAAGAAGAAGAAGAAGAAGAAAAAAACAGCGAAGAGAAGAGAAAAAAATCATACATGCCCACCGCAGAATGAGGGAAAAGCA